GAGGTTAGACTGACAGGTCTGTAGTTCCCTGAGGCAAAGGTGGCATTAAGTACCTTTAGAAGGCATTAAGAACTCTCCTTAGTTTTCCTTTTGTTGTCAATGTATTTATAGAAACCCTTTTTATTGTCTTTAACAGCACTAGCTAGATTAAGTTCCAGCTGCGCTTTAGCCCATCTAATTTTCTCCCTGCACAGCCTCATGGTAGCCCTGTACTCCCCCTGAGATGCCTGCCCCTTCTTCCAAGGATCATAAACTCTCTTCGTTTTCCTGAGCTCCAGTCAGAGCTCTCTGTTCAGCCAGGCTGGTCTTCTTTCCCACCGATTCGTTTTCTGACGCACGGGGACTGCCCGTTCCTGTGTCTTTAAGAGTTCCTTCTTGAAGAGTGACCAGCCTTCCTGGACTCCTTTGCCTTTCAGAACTGCCTCCCAAGGAACTCTGCCAACCAAGTCCCTGAACAGACCCAAGTCTGCCCTCCAGAAGTCCAAAGTGGCAGTTCTGCTAACTCCCCTCCTCCTTGCTTCTCCAAGGACTGAAAACTCTATACAACCAGAGTAGTTTACTGTGTCATACTGGCAATCTCAAGACTACTTTGGGAACAGAAATCTCAAAGAATTTTACAACTTCTGTTAGATTGAATCTACTACTCTGCTTCACACCAGAGGCTACCTCAGATCCACAGACAGGGACCAGTGACATCCAAGACTGAAACACTAGGTTAAATAATGAGACACATTACACAATCCAGATCAAACCCTACCTTAAATATAATCTGTTCCAAAAACAGTCCGCATGAATCAGTACAACTTATTTTCTACTTCCCTATCTGCAAAGGTAGATGTTCTAAATCATTGAGTTACAGATGCAGTTGTAGCCACCTGCACCTAGAACAGAACTGCATACATTCCCTTCTAAAATATGAATTAGTAAACTGACAGGGAATTCTCAAGCACTTAGTTTAAGTGAGCCAGAGGCACAGCATTAAAAGAAATCTTCTTGGACATAAGGATTCATGCTAAAGTGCTCTGGCAATTAAAACTATGTTACAAAGAATTTTTGCTACAAAGAGCTTCAGTTTAACAACTAGCTGTTCACCCTGCAGACAGATATGCCGTGTTTGTCCACCCCTTAGTAATGCCCAGAGAGCCCTCTATCACCTTTCCATGGCTTAGCTCCTGTCATCAATTCAGAACTTGACTCAAGTTCTTATGTAAGTGTAGTAAAGATCCTATTAATGTTCACCCCCCTTTACTTTCAAGCTTTGCTTCTCAAACTTCTGAGTAAGAGAGACCAGAACAAAACAGTTACATCCTTCAAAAAGCTTCGTATGTCACCAAGTTTGCATGGCCTTGGCTGCTAGCTGAAATAATTTTAGCTTACGTCCACAGAAGGACATCCATTACATTTCCTGCTGCT